TGGTATGAAAGTAATGCTGGACTCATAAAAAAAGATGGGGAAGTGAGAATCATTATTCATAAACTATTGACTTCCCAAGGCCAACCCTCCATCTCTGCTAGAATTCTGTCTCCCAAATTCCTGCCAGGTAGATTTTTAACTGGCTTCCTCCCGAACCAGCCCATTCCTTCTCTGGTTCTTTAGGATAACCTGGTCTTCCTAGGATTATGCTACAGTCTGCCTCTTCCCAAATAGGTAGTTGTGACTGAAAATTGCCCAAAGATGCCTCCTCCCAGGCTTGTCTTCCAGGGTGAACAGTCTGGACCCTTCAGCTATCCTCGCACAGTGCCCATGGCTAGGGTGGGGGAGGCCTCTAAAGGGAGGTCGGGCCTCCCCCGAGCCTTTGTGTGAGGATATCTCTCTCCTCTACCCTCTACTTCAGAAGATCCTGATGCCTTTCTCTCCCTGTCCAGTGTTATAAAAGCTCCAAGGACCGGCAGCCGCATCTGAGGTTGGCACTGGATACCTGCAGCGTCATCTACGTGCCCAAGGACAGCCGGCACAAGAGGCATGAGCTACGTTTCACCCAGGGGGCTACCGAGGTCTTGGTGCTGTCATTGCAGAGCCGAGAGCAGGCCGAGGAGTGGCTGAAGGTGCGTGGCCTGCACCTGACCTTCCCACCTTCCCACCCTTTCTCTCTTCCCCAAGCCAGCCCTCAGTAGAGCTGGCTCCTGTCCCTGGAAGAGCCTCTTGCTCAGTGCCTGAGCCCAAATGCCCTGTGTGTGGCTAGGGTTTATGTATGGAAATGGGCCTCAGATGTCTCCAGGAGGCAGACTTCATGCTGGAGACCTATGTTCCTTCTAGTTATTTGAATTCCCTTTCCAAATCCTTACTGTGGGCTTGTTCAGGCTGCACTTGTATACCTCCTGGAACTGGAAGCTTAATATCTACAAAGGAAGCTGATTTCATCATTAGACCAGTGAATTCTTAAAACAACAACAACAATAAAGGAAAAATCCTTCCTTGCCTTGAAACGTACATCCTTGTAATGACCACCCATGGGCCAGCTTCTGCCTCTGCAGCTACACGGAACGATGAGAGTTACCAAAAAATGAGCACTTACTTTGTGCCATGCATTGTGCCAAGAGCTTTACATACCTGACCTCATTTCTGCTTGAAAATGGGACAAAATATTATTGTTCCCTTTTCACAGATGAGGAAACTAAGACGCAGCTTTGAGAACTTATGTGACTTGCCAAAGGTCACACAACCAAAGTGATTGGAGCCAGAATTTGAAGCTAAGAAGTAAGTCTCCTCCAAAGGCCATAGGCAGGATGACATAGTGATGACATGGGAGAGGGGACTTTGTGGCACCCACACTTGAGTCAAGCCCCAGGCCTAAGGGGCACTTACTGGTTGTGTGACCTTCTGCAAATGACTTTGCCCCTCTGTGCCTGTTTTTTTCATCTGTGAAATGGTCCTTGGAAGGATTCTGGAGAGCACTCGGCACAGTGCCTGCCAGGCAGTGAGTGTGTGGCAACTGTCAGTAATTACTTCCATGATGATTGTGATGCCCTGCCCCCCATTCCTTTACAGCAGACCCCCATCCCTGCACCACCTCTACTTCACTCTGACACCGTCCTTTCCTCCTCTGATCTTCCTGCTGGAACAATGAAACCAAACACCTCCCTCCCTACCCAGCCCCTTCCTTCCTGTGATAACCAGCGCCCCTGATGGAACATTTGGTGTTTCTCATTACCTCTTTGTCTCAGGAGGGAAGGAAGGGGAGAACCTGCCTGCTGGGGGAGCCTGTACCCCTCCACGGACTGGTGAGGTCAGCAGACGGAGCCCTAGACTGGAGTTAAAAGAGACCTGCCTTGACATTGATCCTGGGCAGCAGTTAGCCAGAGGTTAACAGTGGGCAGCTGAACTGCCTGCATTTAGTTTCTGGCTCTGCTGCACCTAAAGGTGGCTTTGCCTCTGCAAGGCTCGTCATCTTAAGCTGTAACTCAGGGCTCACAAGGCTGCTGAGGGATAAAATGGGATAATCCACAGAAAGCCACCAGATAGGTGAGCAACAAATGGTGGCTGTGGTTATTTCCTGATCTCATGCTTACTGCTGTGTGGCCTTGGCAAGTGAGTGGATGCCTTTAGGAGATAGAGGTGATAACTCCAGCTGCCCTACAGGTTGCTGTAAAGGTGCGCATGGTCACAGAAGCAGGTCCCTCACGCTTGTGAGGCTTTATGGTTCCCATCACTCTTCACATCTGTGGTCCCACCGTCCTCAGGCAACCCAAGGAGGAAAGCAGAGGACTAGGATCATTCCCATGTTGCAGATGTGGACACTGAGGCCCAGAGCAGGGAAGTGGCTCTTCCAAGACCACACAGCTAATTAGCAATAAGCCTCTTGGTTCCCATCCTTGTGTCTTTTCAACCCAGGGGACAGATATGGGAGAAAGCCTTTACAAACCCCAGTGTGCCCCACGCATGTACAGGCGGCTATGTCAGCCCATCTGTTCCCCACAGTGGCCCTGACCCTCTGTTCTACAGCATTCACCACACAGACCCCATTCTTCCTTTGCATCCACAGCTTCCCTGCCCACCCGTTTACAGCTGTGTGTCCTCTTCACAGGTCATCCGAGAAGTGAGCAAGCCAGTTGGGGGAGCCGAGGGAGTGGAGGTGCCCAGATCCCCAGTCCTCCTGTGCAGGTTGGACCCGGACAAGGTATATCTGTCTCCACTAGGTCTTCCCCAGGCCAGGCAGTGGCCACTCAACACAGGCTCAACCCCAGGGGAACTCACTGGCTGGGGGGAAAGCCGGGCAACTGCCAAACTGTAGGTGCCCAGCACAGAGCTGGCACAACAGTAGGTGCTTAATAAATGTCTCCTGAATTCATGAATGCATGAACAAACGAGTGCCTGTGCCCAAAGGGCAACACAAACCAGAGGAGGGAGTGACGCACCTGCCAGGAGGGGAGGAGGTCACGTTGCAATCGTGCCATGAAAAATAAGTTGAAATTTGTCAATTAGAAAAGGAGGGTGTATAATCCCAGCACTTTGGGAGGCCAAGGCGGGCACATCACTTGAGCCCAGGAGTTCAAGACCAGCCTGGACAACACAGTGAGACCTCATCTCTAAAACACAAAAATTACAAAACTATTATCCAGGTGTGGTGGCACATGCCTGTAGTCCCCACTACTCAGGAGGCTAAGGTAGGAGAATTGCTTGAGCCTGGCAGATGGAGGCTGCAGTGAGCCATGATCGTGCCACTGCACTCCAGCCTGGGCAACAGAGTGAGACCCTGTCTCAGAAAAAAAGAAAGAAAAGAGAGAGAGAAAGAAGAAAGAGAAGGAGGGTGCCTGTCTGGAACATGAGAGAAGCAGGCATTAGCCAGTTGGTCAGGCTGTTGGCAAATATGTCCCAGTACCTACACATTGCCAGGTATTGTGGGTAACAAAGGGCCCTGGACCCAAGTCCTCCCCTTAAGGACATTACAGTCGAGGGGAAGGGTTAAGACCCACAGACACGGGCCTTGCATGATGTAATCAAGGCTTGTATTTATAGACTGTGACTGCATGCCCTGCAGTGTACTAAACGCTTTACGTGTATTACCTGAGGTGATTTTCATAAGAACTCTTTGGGCAGGTACATTTTCAGAGGAGAAAGCTAAGACAGAGATTTGCCCAAGGTCACATAGTAAATAAGAACCATAGCCAGGATTTGAACCCAGATGGTCTAGTTCTTGATGACCATGTTGCCCCTCCTCTCAAGGTCAGGATCCTGGGCACCTGCTTGACAGGTACTCGGTGAGTACCCAGGGCACCCCAGGAACTGTGCTAGCCATTGAAATGCAGTCCAAACACAAACAGGTGCAAGCCCTGCCCTCACAGCACTTCCAGCCCAGTAGGAAGTAGACGTGAATCAAACAGTCACACGGACTTATAAATGCCAAGCTGTGTAAATGCTAGGAGGGAAAAGTACCAGGTACCCTAGGGCCCTGCCTCTGCCTCAGCGCCCCAAGAAGGCTTCTCTGAGGAAGTGATATTTCAAATGAAGATGAAAAATTAGCAGGGAAGAGGAGGGAAAAGGCACTCTAAGCAGAGGGAAAAGGTACAGGAGCAGGAAGAAGCATGGAAGTGAAAACGGCCAGTATGGCTAAGCTCAGAGAGAAAGGAGAGCCCACCAGCCTGTTAGAGTATCGCAGAAAGCTACAGTGAGTGGAACAGGGGCCCACACTGGCTGGAAGGATGAGAAGGGTAAGGGAAGATGGGCGCCTATATTGAGCCTTAAGGCATAGGCAAGATTTCACTGAGGCAAAGGTGGGCCGAGGGGAGGGAACAGAAGCAAAGGTATGGGATCAGGCAGAGTCACCAGGAGTGGAAGATGTGCCCAGGTGGATGCAGGAGGAGAAGCTCAACCCTATCCTCACTTAGCCTTTGCCATGCGTGAGGCCAGAGGGAAAGCAGCGTTGACGGTGTCAGTGTGTGAGTGTGTGTGTGCACACACTTGCCAGCGCATGCTGTGGTGCAGTTTGAAGGGTGTGTAGAGAGGAAGAAGAGGCAAGCTGGTAGAGTTGAGATTTCCTGTGGCTGAGCGTCCACAGGGAGGGTAACTAGGATGTTGGGGGTGGTATTTTGGGTGGAGAGTGAGGGTGAGGACGTGATATTGGTAGGTCTCTTCTCCACAGAATCATGTGATTGCAGCGTCACCATCGAGTTCATTCCAAAGTGCTCACGGTACCTCTTTGTATTTGCTCTATCTTGATGAAAAATGTACCATCTGTACACCATTGCCGAACACATGCAGCCATAGCTTCTGTTTCACCATTTGAAGAGGTGATTCTTCATACTCGACAGTCCTGTCCCCTTTCTGACAGCTGTCATGTTTCCAGCCCTTTGGACATTGAGAGGTGCCCATGATCGCCTGTCCTCTCCGTCCCCCGTTGCTTATGGTGAAGCAGCCCTGAGCCTGGTTTGAGAGGATCTTGGCAGGAAAGGCTTTGGGGCCTCAGAGCTCTGTAATTCCACCTTCTTAAGTGGGTGGATGTCATTTAATCCTGGCCCAAGTGTGGCTGGCACAGTTTAGCTCCTTGAAGAAAGATGGCAGCACACCACACAGGTGTTAGAAATGATACAGTCCGTGGGCCTTCACTTGGGCTGGCTCCCTCACAGCAGCCCTCTGAAGTGGGTGGAATTCAAGTGAGAAAACCCAGCCTTGGGGAGACAGAAGCACTTTCCCACATTCCCATAGCTAATAAGTGGTAAGAGAGTCATCATTACTTCCACTCTACATCCCATGGTACCTAGTAGACACTTAATGGACCTTGTATGAATGAATCGATGAATGGTCTGGAGTTGGTGTCACGAGTAAAACTAATTTGGGCTGGAAATGAAATTGTTGACATGTTGTGTGTGCGTGTGTGGGTGTGTGTCCCCTTCCCATCCTCTTCTCCGAGTTAGGATCATAATGGACTCCTGCTGGTCACCAGGTCCCACCATGACTATTTTGAAAATGTCTGCCAGCTCATCTGTTTTTCCCCATCCTCACTGTCATCTTGGTTCATGCTCTTGTTGAGTCTCATCATGACCAGGATGACACTCTCTTAAGTGGCTCTTTTGCTTCCAGTCTTGTCCCCTCTTTTCTATCCCCACAATGCCACTGGAAGTAACTTCCTAAACCAATTTGGATTACATTAGTGTTCCACTTAAATACTTTCCCAGCTCCCTGTCACCTGCCAAATACAGTCCAAATTCCTAAGACATTCATTTCAAAGTGTTATAATTAATTGCCTCCCTCCCCAAATGGACTGTGAATTGCCCAAAGACATAACCATATCTAAGTCATGGTTGTCTTTCCAATACCTGGTATGGTATCAGGCACAGGATAATTGCTGACAAACATTTGTTAACTAATTATCATGTGCTGGGGGAGTTGGAGGGAGATCGAACCAATAAAGGGAAATTTGGGTACCTCCGAATGTGCCCTCTGATGGGGGACTGTCTGTGTCCCTCCTCAGAGGCTGTCCCAAGAGAAGCAGACCTCAGATTCTGACAGCGTTGGCATGGGCGACAACTGTTCTACCCTTGGCCGCCGGGAGACCTGTGATCACGGTAGGAGCCTCTGGGGGCTCAGGCTGGGGAATGCTGGAACTGGGCAGGGCCCTGCCCATGGGCACACAGCGGCAGAGTAGGTTCTGATCATTCTGGAGACCTGGGTAAGGTGACCTGGCCTGCCATCCCTGGAGCTGCAGGCCCATCCTGTGTGCAGGCTGAAAAGGCCACAGGGAAGACTAAGGATGGGTGAGACTCAGGGCTCCCTCCACTCCCCTGACCCATTTCCCCAACAGGCAAAGGGAAGAAGAGCAGCCTGGCAGAACTGAAGGGCTCAATGAGCAGGGCCGCAGGCCGCAAGATCACCCGTATCATCAGCTTTTCCAAGAAGAAGCCACTGGCCGATGACCTGCAGACGTCCTCCACCGAGGAGGAGGTTCCCTGCTGTGGTGGGTCCAGGGCACGGGGATGAAGGGTGTTCAGGTCCTGTGGGCGCGGGCTTCTGGGGCTGAGGCCAGGAGACCTCATGCCTCATCCACCTCACCCCCAGGGCAGGGGAGGGGATCCCAGCCTACTGGGAGGCTAAGCCCCACTCCATTAACACTCTAGGCTTTCCCATCACTTCTCTTTCCAGAGGCCCTGACACTCAACCAAAGGAAAAGCCAGCTGACCACTGTATTTCTATGCTCCTTGTGACCTTAGTCCAAATCACCGCCCATCTCTGGGCCTCAGTTTCTCAGTTTCCTCCACGATAACAAGTCAGGGGTATCTCATTTCCCAGCATAGAGTGTGCCAGGTGTATAAGTAACAACCTATATTATAGGGAAATTTATTGGAGAAAAATATTTAGGTACTTTTTATTATAGATGCATTCAATGTGAATTAAAAGTGATTTGAAGGGGAAAACATTATTCTGCTCATGTAAATGTAGTGTTCCATGTACTGGAATCCAGTTTTTAAAAATCATATATTTTGGATATGCAGTAATATTCTAACCCTGAAAAAAATATTATAAAAGTACATGGCAAGACCAGGTGCAGTGGCTCACCTCTGTAATCCCAGCACTTTGGGAGGCCGAGGCGGGAGGATCGCTTGAGCCCTGGAGTTTGAGTCCAGCCTGGGTAACATGGTGAAACCCTGTCTATACCAAAAATACAAAAATTAGCCAAGCATGGTGGTGTATGCCTGTAATCCCAGCTACTTGGGAGGCTGAGGTGGGAGGATCACTTGAGCCATGATAGAGACACCATACTCCAGCTTAGGTGACAGAGGGAGACCCAGTCTCAAAAAATAAATACATAAATAAATATATGGTTACAAAGAAATATTTTGTAATCAGTGAATCAGAGTGCATCATGGTAAAAATAAACAAATTTAAATCTAAAACATTAAGAGGGAATTCTAAACCTGTGGGTCATTAGCTACATAGCAGCTGTGCCTTGGTCAATTTTAGGATTATGTAGGCGAGACATTTTTGTTCCCACACGCTGCCACTGGGTGTCAGCATCATCCATTATTTTCCATCTTTCAGTAACAGTTTTGATTTGGGGAGAAAAGGCAAAAGAGTTGTGTTTTTTATATCATACGCAGTAGTTGCTGCCCTTTTCATCAAGCTTGGTGTGGCCCAAAGGCTGTGCAGACATGTACGAATGCCATTATCAGTCCTTGTTTCACAGGTAAGAAATAAACTCAGAAAAGCATGCCCAAGGTCACCCTGAGGTCACAGGGGAGAGAAAGCTAACCAGGACCCTGAGGTCTTCTTTCCAGCAGACACAAGGAGCCACCTTGCGTCCCCATGCTGTCCCGGGGCAGGCTGTGGGAACCTCACACCACTGTCTCCTCCAGGCTACCTGAACGTGCTGGTGAACCAGGGCTGGAAGGAACGCTGGTGCCGCCTGAAGTGCAACACTCTGTATTTCCACAAGGACCACACGGACCTGCGAACCCACGTAAACGCCATCGTCCTGCAAGGCTGTGAGGTGGCCCCGGGCTTTGGGCCCCGACACCCGTTTGCCTTCAGGATCCTGCGCAACCGGCAGGAGGTGGCCATCTTAGAGGTGAGAGGAGAGGGTGGGATGCGGGTGGTGCTTGGTCTGGGGACTCTGGTCTGAGTGTTGTGTTTTTGTTTGGGGGAGCCCTTGCTGCTGACACCATGGGGACTGAAGGGGAAGGAAAACAAGCCCCACTCCTGTCAGGTGACCCAAGTAGGATTATAAGACAACATACAGGACACCCACTTAATTTGAATTTCAGGTAAGCCATGAACATTACCCGGAACGTTTTCATAAAAATGTAGGTATGTGCCACGCAAGATTGGAGCTCTATCGATACTAAACTATTATTGTTCATCTGACATTCAAATTAAACAAAACATTCTGTATTTTTATTCACTAAATCTGGCAGCACCAGAACCAAGGTTTGTTTTTTCTCCCTTACCTTAAAATCCCAAGCCTGAAAGGCATCTAGTCTAGTCTAGCCCATTCAGATTCTGGAATCCCCTCTAAGACCTTTCACCGGTACCCTCCTCTGGTGGAGGAGAAGGTCCATGCCCCTCCCATTGAGCAATTCAAATTTTAGACAGATTTTCCCCATACTGAGTTGAAATCTTTGAGCTCCAGGAAGGCAATAACTAGGCCTATTCTGCATACTTTTGTTTTTCCAGAACTCGCCAGGATGTCCTGCACTAGAATACTATGGGCTCTAGAAATATTTGTTGAACAAATGAGTGAATGAAGTATGATTTCATTTCACCAATTCACTGTCCTTACTCACAGGCAGTAGCCTCCTCTCTGAGGTCACGCAGAATACGTGGACTCTCTTCCACATGGCAACCCTTTGGCAATTTAGAATTTTAAATGTTAACACTAGAGGAAAACAGAAAACTAATTTCTCCCATTACAGATAGGAAACTGAGGCCAAGGCAGCCATGTGCTTTATCCAGGGGTCCACCAGTGGTCTCTTGGTCTTGTCCTAGAACCTGACCTCTTGGTCTTGTTTTCTGCCCAAGACCCACTGCCTCTCTCAGTTCTTAAATTTCAAAAAATATCTTCTCTGTAACTCACTTTTATTTTTGGTAGTTTGAGATAGGTCTCTTATTTCTCTTATACATGAGCAAAAAATGTGCTTTATTTATTCAAGTTCAGTATTTGTGTGCTAATTTAATTTTATAAGATGCTCTTTAAATGAGAATTAACATAAGTCCACGTTTAGTTGACTGGCAACTTCTTGGAGATTTTCCTATATACAGTATTGTAATTATTTGGCAATTGTAACACAAGAAAAAATTTTGATTGAGTTATATGAGAAATGACCTCTTCTAATAAAAAATAAATAGTTTTTAAAAATTCAGAGAACACCGAAATGTTGGTTTTATATCCTAATGGTTGGGGAAGGCTCTGAGAATGGAAAGTGAGGGTAGGGAGGCCTCTGTCTTAGAGAGGTCATCAGGGAGGGCCTCTCTGAGCAGGTGACATTTGAATGGAAACCTGAATAGATGGAAGAAGGGAGCCTCTTGGATTTCTGGATGTGTGCTGTAATCTTATTCCTCTTTGACCCCTGAGTATCGGGTACATAGTCAGTACTTACAAATATTTCTGGGTTTGGCTGAAGTCAATAGGTCTCCAGAAGCTCTGACAGTAGGAAAATGAACTCTACCTTTGCCTCCTGTCCTTCAGGCAAGCTGTTCAGAGGACATGGGTCGCTGGCTCGGGCTGCTGCTGGTGGAGATGGGCTCCAGAGTCACTCCAGAGGCGCTGCACTATGACTACGTGGATGTGGAGACCTTAACCAGCATCGTCAGTGCTGGGCGCAACTCCTTCCTGTAAGTGTCAGCTGCACCGGCCGCACCTGCCCAGGACTTTTCCTGTCTCCATCCCTCTCAGAGGCTGAGTACAGCCCTGGGCACTGGGAGGGAAGGGAGGAGCTAAGGAAAGCTCTGCTTCCTTGGGAAGTTGAAATGGGTGTCTTCCTCTTACAGCAAAGAGTGGGGAGCTGGCTGAAGGAGGTAGCCCAGGGTCAGAGGCAAGCTGTGGATGGAAGGAGCAAAAGTAGAGAAGCCTTGAAGTAGTGGCCTGGGTTCTGCCCTCATGCCACGGGACTTTAAGCTTTCACACACTTGATCATGGGCACATGGCTAGTATATGGCATTCAGGTACTAGAAGAGCCAGGTTCGAGTCCCAGCTTGGTCACCACCAGCAGTGGAAGCTTGCAGTGGTTGCTTGCCATCTCAGATCTCTGTTTTCTGACTCATAGAATGGTGGTGATGAATTACCTGCCTTGCAGGTTGTTATGAGAATCACATTGGTCCTGTCTGTGACACCCTAACACAGCCCATGACACAGTGCTTCCTGCCATCTTGCTTTTACTAATCTTCTGACCTGCCTTAAGAGTTTCTGCCAGAATCAATGAGAGTGGTAGACAGGAAAACACTGTAAGTCGAAAAGCATCATTGTCATTGTCATTGTCATTGTCATTGTCGTTGTACCTTTTATTTTCTAGATATGCAAGATCCTGCCAGAATCAGTGGCCTGAGCCCCGAGTTTATGATGATGTTCCTTATGAAAAGATGCAGGTACAGTCCCTTGGGGCTGCCCAGGAATGTGACAAAGGCCACTTATTAGCTCTCCCTCTTTCTGCTCTCTTTACCTTCTCCTCAGAGAGATCACTTTCATTTAAGCAGCAGTAGCTAGAAGGGGAGCCCCTTCTTATCATAGAGCATGGCTCAGGATGAGGAATCCCTGGCACAGGAGGCTGGGTGGTGCAGTGGAAAGAGACCCAGGTTGGGAGGAAGAAAGGGCTCTGTAGACTGCCAAGCAGTACCAAAAGGTGAGGCATCGTCTCCAGTTTGAGCAAGATGCTGGGTCCTGTTTACCGCTCTGTGAACTTATCCTCCTGATTCTGTGGTGTCTGGGGCAGGTGCTGACTCTGGGGCCAACCTGCAAGCCTTCACCTAGTGACTTCGTGATCTGGGAGCTTCAGCTCCCAGGCCAGTCTCCATGTTTTGCTTGCTAAGCCAGGGAGATACCAACTTACTAATTTACAGTGAGGCCTGAGTAGCCATCACATGACCTGGAATGCTCCTGGCAGCATGCCCTGTGCTGTCTCCTCCCTCAGAGAGCAAGAGGAGAGCCACATTCCAACCAGACGCTGGTGGGTGGGTCAGGCCTCACCATTAGCAGGAGAGAGAGGCAATTAAGCTGTGTCTGCAGATGTGTCTGCGGACAGGACCTCTGCCTTGGATGGTGCTCGATGACACACTGAGTTTTCACCTCTAGGACTCCCTTTTCTGGAAATTTCTCCAGTCATCCTTCTGTTCATATGATCTTTCTTCAGACTCAGATAAACCTGTGGATGCCGCTTGAGGTTTTTCTCAGTTGCAGAGTTTAGTGG